CAAATATTCGATGCACCCAGCCTCCTGGAGCAGACAGACTTAACACCAACCATCTCATGCTTATACAAGTCTTCCATCACTCAACACCCATTAGTCTGACTCAGCATTTGTAGCCTAGAGCAGGTCTGCTACTCAATGCTGGCACATGGGGTCAGGCTGCATCAAGGTCAGACGTCACGTTTGGACCATATCCCTCCAGAAGGAAGGGCTTGTGCATAGTCGTCTCTCATGCCGGCAGCATCGCACCAAAATCTGGGCACTCTACCATGTATTAAAACCTCCTCCGACTCACCCGCTCCCTGTGTGAGCCCCATCACAGAAGCTGCTGCACAGGCTGGGAGAACTCACCTTTCGGGCCTCCTTGAGACGTTTCTGGAGGTCATTCTGCTGCTCCTGCATCTTGCTCTTCCATTCCTGCACCTGCTCCAGCTGGATCTTGTACTTCTCCAGCTCCTTCAGCTTGGCTTTGTCTTCATTCCGCTTTATCTTCAGAGTCTCAAGCTTCTCCTCCAGGTCCCTCACCTGGCCACGCAGGTTCTCCTCCTCCTGCAGTGCCAGGGAAAAGCAGGCAATTACTCCCAGGGCAGAGACCATGCCATGGCTCCACCCCCACCACCTTCCATGCAACACAAAGGCCACAGACTTTTCAAGTCCAACCCAAGCACCGAAAGGCAGAAGAACCTTTTTCAGTGGCAGCATCACTACAGGCCTCCTGGAACAATCAAGTTCCCTGTGCTCTTGCACTTCCAGAGTCAGTCTCACTTGGACTCGGCACTGATTTGCATTTCACAGACACTGGGCACGGGACAATTTTTGACATGCTGAGATATGTCTTGGTTTTCAGGTGCTGAGCACCTGCATGTCCCACCAACTTCACTGGGATCTCTGGACCCATCTGAAAAATCAAGCCAGCAGAGTACCAGACCCAAACCTTCTGCTATCCCTTCCCCGGCCCCATGGGCAGGGTAAAGACACATGCAAGGAAAGAAAAGGTTTCCACAAGCAGGTTTGGGGTTTCTGAACCTGGAGCCACAATGACACAACCTATGTGACCTTAAACTGAGGCAGCAGCAAGTGTTTTAAGGTTTGTGTGTAAACCACAAGCACGGTGCACTAGGGACTGGAAAGGTGTTTGTTTATACTACGAGGGTTGTGTCAGCAAGACTCTGGGCACCACCATCTCCCTGGTTTCCCTGGGGCAGGTTCAGGTTTGACATCTTGTTTTGCATCAGGGGTGACTGTGTAGTTTTGCTAAGAGATTGGACACAGGGTTTGTCTGTGCTGGTTTGGACACAGCTGATCCTGCCTCAGACAGGGGTTAGACTAGGTATGACCCTGCAGGTCCCTTCCAGCCCTGCTTCTCTACAATTCTACGATTCTGTGGTCTGGACAGGGCTGATCCTGCTTCGAGCAGGGGCTGGATCAGATGTGATCTCTGGAGGTCCCTTCCAGTCCCACATCTCTATGATTCTATGATACAAGGTTTACCTCACTCTGCGTCACCTTCTTTTCACTGCTCTCCCTCACCAACTGCTTTCATGCAATGGGCTAAACTTCTGTCTCAAAGGTGGTTACAGCAAACAGGTCTGCACACCTGGCTGGGGACATCCGGCATGTAGCCCTCCAAAGAGTTTCAGACTCACAAGAGAATGGCTGGCTCTGGATAACACTGCTGTAAGGGAAGGGCTGACAACAACTCTGCATACTCAGAGTTCTTCAACCAGGCCAGGATAGAGCAGGACATAGTTGAGAGCCATGAAGTGGTCTCCTCTCTGAACCACAACTCAGCCAGACTGTAATGCCTTCCCCGAGATGGCTCTACCAGGGAAGCAATTCAGGCCTTTCATGGGGCAGGTTCCCTGCAACTCCCGCAGCTCTGCTAGTACAGAAGTGGCCAGAAGCTGCACTTGGGCTGTGCTATTTGGTTGCTAATGTAGCTCTCTATGGTTTCAGTCCACCTATTCTGAAGCTTCTTGTGCTCCACAGGGAATGAAGAACAGCGAGTGAACCTGCCTAGGGCATGCAAGGGGCTACCACTGAGCTGCACATCAGCTGGAGAGCTGCCTGCTCAGGAGGGGAGATATCGCTCAAGCAGCATAACCCAGTGAGGCACCAGATGGTCGTGCATGGGACTGCACTATGGGGGGAGTCACAGATCCAGGCCCAACCCCCAGCACTGCGGGCACCAAGCTGACAAGGATGTTCTGCCACACACTCGATTGTCAAGATACTGGTCAGCAGGCTGGGGAAGCTGCCACCCACTAGGCACAGGCAGAGGCACTGGGGAGCTGCAGAGAAGGTCATGGAGGAAGGCTGTCTGGTGCTGAACCCCTGCGACAGGGCTGGCGGACAGCTGGCTCAGGCTAGTAGAGCTCTGTACCTTGCCCCCAATCCCCAACCCAAATCTGTGGCCTAACGACTGGTTCTGCCTATAAGTAAGCATCTCCATGAGACGCACAACAAGGGACAGGGATGGGTGCTACGAAGGCCACTAACAAGATGCTACAACTCAATTGTTTTTTTTAAATGTAGCAGGCATCTGAGCCCCACTACTGTCAACAGGATTTCAGCACTGTTGTCATCTCTAGAAAGCTGCTCTACAAGCTGTCAAACAGCCACGCAAACTGACTGGACATCTCCAGCTCGCTCAGCTCCTGAGCTGGAGATGTTGGTAGCCAGCCAGCAAATGAACAGTTTGCAGGCTCGCCTGGTTTAAGCAGGCAGCATCCCTTCAAGGTGAGGCAGAACTATGTCTGCAAACAGACAGCACCTTTGTGCTATCGTGAACCCAAGTGAATGAATGGCTTAGCCCTTTGTTGCACCACAGATGCCCAAACTGATGAGCGCCATGATTCCCAGTCGTAGTTCACACTGCCTTTTTGCAGCCAAGGTTTGTTTGCTTGTGGCAGGAAAGCATGGGCAGCCCAGAGCCGTTCATGCTCTCCAGCTGCCTCAGGCAGGCACTCCCAGGGGCTCCAGGGTCCCACTCCTGCTAGCAATGGGAATCTCCTTGCAGGGAATACCTGTGACACACAAATCATGCTGCCATGCCCTGAGTCACAGCATGGCACTCATGGCCACTGTCCCAAAGGATCAGGCCCCCAAAGCCCTGGCTTTGCAGACACCAGTGAAGTGGATCAGCAGTGCCAAGGTACATCCTGGCATAGTTGATCTTGCGTCAAATGCAATGTCTGCTTAGACCCCAAATTAGAAATTAAAATGCCTTTTCCTTCCCCAAACCTGTGCTTCTTCCAGCTCCTCATTTCACCCACTGGTTCAATCTTTTCTCATTTATTGCACTATCAGTGCCTTGCTCTCGTGCCCTAGATCTTACACAAGCTCCACTTTCAGCTAATTAAGGTTGCACAAGAGGGGAGTAACGAGAAACTATTTTAAAGAACAAAAACGGACTAGACGTGTCAGGACAATTACCAACGAGACCAAGCACCGAGATGGAAAGACCCTGAGAAGCTCCAGCTGTCCTCTGCTGCCAGGCAGGGCCGTTCCTGCTGAACACTCCCTAACAGGCTGTCCAGTCAGCTTTTTAAAGACTAGGCAAGTGGCATTTCAAAATCTTTCCCTTAGGATCAGTTCCAAAGCCTTGTGCCACCCAACACACAGTACACTGGTCTATTCTACAGCTCCACATCACCCAAAGGTCAAGAGGCTGCTCTCAATGCTGAAGCACAAAAACTGTGGTTGGACACGGGATTAGTCTGGGCTGCTTCAGACAGGGTTGATCCTGCCTTGGGCAGGGGCTTGACTGGATGTGACCTCTGCAGGTCCCTTTCAACCCCAGAGCTCTAGGACTCCATGAAGTACCTCCCCTGCCGGCTTACCTCTTCACAGCCAACTCCACCCCCTCACCTGGCGTAGCTATGAAGCTTGCCCAGTCTTGCCAGAACAGTGCACTGCAAAGCCTTACCTTTGTCGGGGATGGGATTGGGGGTGGTGCCACCGGAGAGGTCAGGGAAGGCGTCGGGATGACTGGGGCCACCAAGGGCGTCTGGGCAGGCGTGCTGGGTTCACTGCTACTCATCTCGCCCCCGGAAGCCGAGGCCGAGCCCGAAGGCCCCGGTGTCCCACTGGAGGCTGCGGAGCTGGTGGTCCGGGTAGGCTGCAAAACACCATGGCCAAGGAGAAAGTCAGAAGAGCCTCTGGTGCAGAATTTCACATGCTTGCCACTGTCTGCTCCTGCCTTCCCGCAGCTCTGCACTGTGTTTGTTCTGGTACGCTGCCTCCTGCTGATCTGTAGGAGAATCCCTTACTGGGATGCAACACCAGTGCTGTCCAGCATGGGTCAAAACCAGGGAGTAAGCCCCGTGGCCAGTCCTTCTAAAAGAACTTGCAGGAGTTCCTCACCATCAGTAGGAACAAGCCAGTGCCGTGCTGTATCTTACGGACTGCACATGCTCACCCTGGAGACTGGATGCTACCATGAGCCCAGCCCAAGACAAACACGAGGTGCTTCTGGGAAGGGCCTTGCCAGGGCTGCCGTGACCATGGGACAGGAAGGTTTTGCTTCCTCAGAGTGCGGGTATGGTGGGGAAAGACACTGTAAAACCCAGCAGCTCCATGCCCACGTACTGTTGAGCTCTCCCTGATCTGTACACCAAAGGCTAAGCATGCACATAGGAGAAACGTGGATGCCAGTGTGAGACTATAGCAAACCTCCTCCATTGGTGGTCTAGTCCTGTGGAAAATACCCCTGAAAACAAATGGGGGCAAAACCCTCCCAGCCAAAATCAGCCCAGCTTCAATTTCTCCTGTCTGCTCCCAGCCCAGGGCAGCCTCATGCTACATGCCAACAAGCTGCTGCTTGCACCTTGCTGCTAGCTGGCAAGGCCTGCTGCCCAAAGACGGTCACACTGTCCATTCCACACCCCACGGCATTTGTGCTGCTGTGCAAACCCAGTACAGAGGACACCAGGACATGAGAACATCTGGCCGCTCCCCAACTCCCTCCAGCAGAGAGAGGCCAAGTCATTTTTGCCTCGTGCTTCACTGAAAGAATTAGCTATGCTGTGATTACAGAAAGGACCTTAGCCCCTTGGAAGAAGCTCACGCCAGAAGGAACCAGCTCAGCTCACAGGACATCTGCTGGGAAAAGCAGCCAGGTCTGACCGCTCACATAGGTTCCTAGCCGTGTTACAGGACCTCCATTTAACCCAGGAGGTGCACAGCCCCACCAGGGGAAATGCCTTGTTGGACCTGGTCCTGGCCATGGGTGACGACCTAGTGAGGGGACTGCGGGTGCTCAACCACCTGGGCAATAGCGATCATCGCCTGCTGGGATTCACCATCCAGAGCAAGGTGTCTAGGGACTGCAGCAAGGCAGCAGCCCTGGACTTCAGGAGGGCAGATTTCAATGAGGTAAGAAGACTAGTCAGGGAGGCACTGAGGTTCCGGAGGGGAGGGGAGTTGGGAATACAAGAAGAGTGGTCATTCTTTAAGGAGACAATCCTCCAAGCCCAAAGTGTGACAATCCCCACGTGGACGAAAGGGGGCAAGAGTGCTCAAAAGCCCCTATGGATCACCAAAAGCATCCACGAATGCCTCGAAGCCAAAAAGGAGGCGTACACCCAATGGAAGGGAGGGGCCATCACCAAGGAGGATTATACCTCCTTGGCTCAAGATTGCAGGGGGGCTGTTAGGAAGGCTAAGGCGGACAGAGAACTGGGACTAGCGACCCGGATCAAAGATAACAGGAAGTCCTTTTTTAAATCCATACGGGGTAAAAAGAAAGTACCAAGTAATGTGGGGCCTCTGCAAGACATGCTTGGTAATCTGGTGGTAGCACCAGGCAACAAAGCTAATCTCTTTAACAGTTTCTTTTCTTCCATTTTTCTGAGCAGGGACAGGGACATCCCCCCTAATGGGATCCCGGACGGACCCAGGGGAAGCGCAGACAGGCCCAGGGTCAGTGAGGATCTAGTCAGGGAACTTCTGGTGGGACTGGATGTGTTCAAATCAGCAGGTCCTGATGATCTCCACCCCAGAGTGCTGAGGGAATTAGCATAAGTCATTGCGGGACCCCTGACAGCTTTACGAGCACTAGTGGTGCTCTGGTGTGGTGCCTGACGACTGGAAAAGGGCCAACGTGGTTCCCATCTTCAAAAAAGGG